AGTTTATCACTATTGTAATATAAAAATTTAACTAAAAAAAAAAAAAATTAACAAAAAAAAACTTTTTTAATCAAAATTTAAGTTAAGTTAATTATAATTGTAATATAAATATTGAATTTTTAAAAAAGAAAAGTAAAAAAAAAAATACTGTTAATCTAAATTTAAGATAAGTTTATCACTATTGTAATATAAAAATTTTATTTGTAAAATAAAAATAGCAAAGAAAAATATGTTGTTAATCTAAATTAATTTTGTTAAGTTAATCATTATTGTGATACAAAATGTAATACCATTAAAAAAATAAAATGTATTAATATATATTTACGTGTAATTATATGTATGTGTGTGTAAATGCATATACTATATAGTATATACGTATGTATTTTGTTTCATTAACTACCCATCTAATTATTGGTTAAACACTCAAAGGACCGGTCCAAGGTAAATATTAAATGTGATAAAAAAGTGTTCGTGGTTTATTTTTGTTATCCGTGTTCCTCGTATGATTTCATCATAAATGAAAACTGGCAAGTACCCTGGTATAAGATTTTCAAACGATCAAACTGAAAAATGTATATGGTAAGATATTCGTATTGTATAATACTTGATGATGTTCGATTACAAATAGGAAATATATAACATGATTTATTATTATTTTCTCATTATTTGAATAAAATAATTATTGTGTTTTTTACACTTAACAATGACTAATCAAAACACTGCAATTTAATGACAAAGTGTATGTATTTTTAAATGCATACATACATAAATAAATACTTTTGTTTCATCAACTACCCATCCAATTATATTTAAAACCTTTTTCTTAATGTGATTTATATATGAAATAATATTATGTAAATTAATTTAAAAAAAATCTTATACAATAATAATATCTGCTATCAAATAGACAAATTAAAAAAATATGAACGTGTTTATCTGTATACGTATAAATGTTAAATATAAATATCAATTATTTTTAAATTTAAACATATAACCTAACCATAATTCACTATAAAGCCATTAATACTGTTCCTTTACAACTGTAAAAATAAAAAAATCCCCTCTGGTATTACGTTATAGTATAATTATGT